AGACGGCTCCTCCCATCTGAGGAACTGCGGCGCATTCCAGTCTTTGATCATCGTTGTCTGTGAAGCATTGCTGGTGTCAGGTGGCACCAGCGTGTCCGCAACAATGATGTGCGAAAGCTAGTACTAGGAAGTGATTATCATGCTAGTTCTTTAGAACAACAGATAGCAATGAATAAGTTGCGTTAGATTGGGTAGATGACGCAAGTCCAAAGGTGGTACTATCCAGCCTCGGTAGGCTAAGAGGGTTGAAGATCGATATTCATCCAGATTTGGATCCGTCGAAGCAAGAGAAACTGAAATCCGCTATCAGTAATCGAAGCAGCTTACCGATGGCGGAAAAACCAACCTGCGCATCGTAAATTTTCGGGTAGTTCCCCGGGTCCGCCGAAGCCGGACCAACAGGTCGATGACGCTTCATGAGCGCACGGCGGTTCCTACCGCGGCCTGAGCATAGCCTTCACAAACGTTTGTAGTTTAATGGACAAACGTTGCCTCCTGTCGTCCGGACATACTGGGACTGGGAGAAATATTGTTAAATCCTGAGGTCACTACCCAGGAATTTCAGATCAGTGGCTGCTCGTGATTCCGGTTCGACAGATTATCAAACGAGCGCAGTGGCGTGCTGTTATACATTTGGTCTTCGCTGTGCGGGAGACTGGCAAACATATACCGAAGCGAAGATGGCCTGTGCGAACAGCTGTGGTGCTCCATCCGCTGAAGCAGGGTGAATTGTTTGTGGGTGCAGCTTATCGCAGCCTGCGAAGTCGAGGTCTGGATTGGTTGCCGCATGTTTAAAACTACCGCTCAACCCGGCCAAGTCCTCGTTTACGAGGCTGGGGAGGGGTAGTGATGGGCGTGGGTACACCCTGGCCGGCCACCCGCTGCATCCCACCAGACTCATAAAGTATCTAGGCACCCTCTCACGCTGTGATCTGAAGCCTGTCGACAACACGAACAGACTGTATGCAAACGGACTACGCCTGCTTCGGGGCACTTAGACGCAGCTTCTGCACTTGGTCTGAAGAGATTGCCACCCGTCTTTTCTCTTCCATGATAAGACCGGTGCTTGCGTACGGCTCACCCGCCTATTGTCCGATCACAGTAGATGAGGTGCAGAGACTGGAATGGGTCCAACATGTAGCTTCCCCCTCATCCCTAGTTTACCGGATGTCGTGCGAGGACTGATGTAGACGACTAGGGCTGTATACCATGTCATATCGTCGGCTTCGAGCTGATCTCATAAGTACGCACCGAATATTGTACCTGGGCCACTTCCCTATGTTGAGACGGCCGTTGCAAGTTCCCGCGCCAAGCAGCACACGCGGACATCGGTACAAACTAGTGGTGCCTGATTTAAAGCGCGTCGGACGTTTTCTATGCTTCGAGCGTCGATTGGTGAAATATTGGAACAAATTGCGGGAGACGCTAGTCGAGGCGAAATCGGTGCCGAAATTTAAGAGATTCCTTGACGCCCGCTTTGCGGACTACAGGTATAGGGAGCGTATCGCTTCCGGAGTTGTAGTGCAGCAGCAACATGCTACCACCGCGCAAGAATCGGTGACGTGATTCCGCGCATGTGCCCGGTCTACCTACGATGGAGCAACACAGATTTGTATCTCCGCGCTTTCTATTCTCATTATTCAGTATGCCCGGTCACCGCTTACCAAGGAGGACTTTGTTTCGTTTGCCAGATGTAGGGTGGCGCAAGATTCGAGGTAGATAAAAGTTGACTTAGTAGCGGGAAATGAAGTCATTGATGACCAAACTCGGTGCCGTTGGTCCGTCTCGCCTTCTAGGCTGGAGTCCACATGACTCGCCCTGTGCTTAGCTCGAGACTTTACAGGACATGGCTCGCAACCGACACCAGTGGCGCGTCTGCCGCCGTCTCCTAGTCCGACTGTCAGTTTAAAGTGTGTTTGGTGCTGAGTTATCTGCGGGATAATGGCTGATTATGACGCGGGGTAATGAAAGCCGCAGGGAAGCTGTCTCGCCGATGCCGTCTTATTTTTGCACGATAGCCAGCTGTTTGTGATGGTGTGTTGTTGACAAGGTGCAGGCGCCTTGACCCAGTGTTTGTTTAAGGTATTAAGGTTTTACTGCAGGTCCCCCTCTCTCCCTCTTGTTCTTCATCCCGTAGGTCATCGTGGTTGTACGGCAGCGAAGCATCAGTTCAAGTAGCTGTTGATGATGATGATTTGTGTGCTGGCTCAAGATGACTTCGGTTGCTCCAGATAATCCGATAAGGCCTCGAAGGCTGGAAACCAACACGCCGGGCTGTTGCGACGGGCATTAGGATAAATAAGCAGCTCTATTTTCGTCAAATTCTCAGCGCGTATGTCGAATAGGCAATTCAAGCCTAGCATCCATGGCTGAAACATGACGTTAAGGCACTGGAACAACCACGACGGGCATGAAAATACGTCATCGGAATGCGCAATCTCCCATGTGAGCCAAGGGTTAAACGACTGAGGGTGTTCAGCGGACGGTATCACAGATTACGAAGCGACCTGAAAATGGAATATTGGATTCTGCACGACCCACATCATGTGTACCGCGTCTTACTGCAACTCAGCAGCAATAAAAACCTGAGAGGTCACTCACTGGAACTCGCAAAACAGTGACGCACTCTACCAACTCTTGGAGTGTGAGTTGGATTTATTTGAGGTTAATTGTGGGTGCTGTGAATATACGCGGATTGCAGGACTACAGCGGAACAAACGATAAGTCCTTTGCATAGTTAAATTACTGATCTTTTTTATTATTATTTCGTTATCCGCACGAAACTACCCAGCGAGAATTGTAAAGCGGCGCTTCTTAACCCGTATAAATTCATTGAACAATATTGTCTGCTAACTCTACTTTGACATGTCTATCTCAACGCCTTTATTTCTCCGTAGAATGCCAAAAAAGCAAACAGAGCCCCATTCATTCGCCCCCAATACCCAAGCTTTATTTACTCAACAGCATATTATAACTGGTATGTGAATGGACCTTGTTCACAGGTTCATACCTACCCCTATAATCTCAACATTCCCCACTGCAAGCGTGAGTAGGACAGTTTCATGCAAAATGGTGACGTATGTTGTCCGTATAGGTAAACTGCACGTTAGTAGTATGAGATTGAAGCCGATCAATGTAGATGCCGGTTCCCAAACTTCCAAAAGAGCCAACCGAGCTAACGTTATATGTTCGTATGTTTCGATGCTGACATGTTGATACGTTGACTGTATATAGGTGTTTTCGGTTAACTTCGATCACTTCTCTCACGTGCAGGACGTATGCTATCTTCGAACATAATGAAGGGAACACAAGCATTTGAAACTTCCCCAAGAATCAGTTGTGTCTCAGAAAGAAAATGAGTTATAAAATTTCGAAGAAATTCAAGCGTACTTCTGTACTTTGATTTTTTTCAACACTCCGGCCCATTGCCTGTTAATTACGGCAAGAGCAGAAAACATGTGATATTCTGGATCTGATCCTGCGTGGGATCCGTTTCTCGCGGTTGAGAAATATAATTACTTTTTTATTTAATATTCGGAGGGAGCGCATATACAAGCAATCCAGCCCGGTCGGATGCTCTGAGCAGATGCGCCAGCAGTCAAGGGTTTAATGACGGAATCCCATGATTGTTGTCCTAGCATTGAAGACACCTATTCAAATACTTGATCGCGCCGACGTATGACAATGTACCTGTCGGGGGTGCACCCTTGGACTTTGAGAACCACAGACTGCGATGCTGAAGCGGGAGGATGGTTTGCGCAAAGCTATCCACCGAGTTCAGGGCAGCAAACTGTATCCTCAGAACTATAGCACCTCTAACTTGTTGATGAAGAGCAAGAATTACGCGTAACTTTTCACAACTTTTGGAGCAGACTACCAAAATATGCCTCGCTCGGTATCCGACACAAGCTGCATAAAAGTTGTGAATCTAACAAATGATCCATGCCTCCAAGGTGACAGGCAACACTGCATGAGTGAACCGACAGGAAACTTATCCAAAAATCCACCAGTCAATAGAAGAGATCAAACGATTCACAAGGCATGAGAGCTGCATCGTTTTTGGCGGTCAAATAAACCCAGAGGTTACCGATGGGATCGGTAACGTCAATGCGGCTTTCTAACATTTAGATCAATGATACATATGGGCCAATCCGTTGAGCGAAGGGAAACTGACGCAGCAGTTAGATCGGTGTAAGTGAAGACGCTGAGGAACTGATCGCCACTGATCATCAATGAGTGTGCAGCCCTGTTCGAAGCTGAGTGCAGTGTTGTGGCCCGTAAATCGGCGTTTTACAATAATACCGCTCTGGGTTATCAGCGAGCCTGGACCGCTTACTTACGAACAAAACCGAGGGAATTGATAAGCAGTCTCACGTACGGTTAGTCGAAGAATCAGAGTGGAGAGCGCACGACACGGTGGAAACGGGTGAAGAGACTAAGGTCCGATCGAGCTGGCATACCATACCTTATTAGATAAATCCACCCGACTGGCAAGCACATGCAGTTAACTTATTTCTCAAACGTGGCGCGGCAACGAGAGCAATGACATTTCGCATTTAGTATGTTATCTTCGATTATCAACCCTAGCATTTAAGAAGCATCTCTCTTTATAAACCCCTTCACCAGAAATTTTCCCATAATATCTGGTTGCGTTCTCTTCCACCTTACTTCTACCCGCTGGTTACAGTGGTACGTATCGTGTCGACACAACCCATCACACTGTGATGCCCGGTGTATAGATGACTGAACAAACTGAAATGAAAACGTCCGATAAGTGTGCACAAGTTCGGTGCTCAAAGTTCGAAAGTGATGACATCGCGACGCGCCCACTTCTCCCTGGGCAGTGCTCGTCCTAGAAAGTACTCGCATGCAGCAATCCAACAAGTAGAACGATCTCCAAATAGAAAACAGCAAAGACCAGTGGTGTGTCAACGGCATTCCAGTGCCCAGTGTCACGTAAGCTGGGAAGCAGATTAAGGCGATGCGATGGGTGCCAACCAGTTGATCGTTATGTGATGGAAGAAACTGATGCGAACCTAGCTGAATTTTGGAAAGTGGCGTAGCGAATCACGAGGAAAACAATACTCGAGAGGACATCAGATGGGAGAGAAACTCAATGTTAAAAGACGACATATACAGAAGATACAAATAACAAAAGAGGTGAAAACTTTACAGAGTACAGCAGCAAAGGGATAGGTAGGCTAGCTCCTTGCTGCTTCTGTTTCATGTGGTTGTAAGGAGACTTTGCTGAGGAATGCCAGATAACCCTTGTTACATCGGTTGGCGTAATGACCTTTCTCTCCGCACTTGAAACACGTAACCTCGTCCAGTGGCTTCTGGGGCCCTTGACGTGGACCGGAAGCAGCAGTTTGTGCGAAATTCATTAAACCGCCGTACTTCAGGCGTTCTGACTGGAACCGATTACCCAATGTACCCGCTTGAGGGGTTCCAGCGGCAGCATTTCCGACCATATTCGCCATATTCTGAGTCCTCTGCAGCTCTTGTAAACGTTGCCTTTCCTCCGGAGGCAACTTGAGACAAAACTGGATTTTATGGCCTCGTTCGTCTATTGCAAAAAGGAAAGAATACAAATGTGTATCGAATGACAACAGCTGTGCAGGTTGAGAGGAAAGTCACAGATACCGCTTTTAAGATATGTCGCTCAGGCATCATGGTATTGGCAAAGTCGTGATACAAGGTGTATTACAAGCAGAAAAGAGAAAAGGGGGCAAACGAAGAGATTTGAGAAGCAACTATTCAGCTTCCAAAGACTAGCATATACGGTTTGACTGGCGGGAAGAGACGAGACACTGACAAAAGTACCTGCTTTATTTGGTGCACTGCAATTAGACTACGAGCCGCAAAGGTCAACTACCAATCCGGAAAGGCACCAGATGATCGTTTCGCTCTACTGGATATCGTCGGGGATAGGCATTCCCTCGGTCCCCTGCTGGCGATCGAATCCATGACCACTACTAGTCAGCAGATTACGCCAGAGCCGTAGGGGACGATAGCCCGAACAACAATACAGAAATTTTAACCCACGAATTGCCTACAAAATACGCTCATCAAGATTTATTCATCTTGACTCCAACGATCTTTATCACAAGCCCACGGACCTCCAAACTTCTGATCCGATTTCGAGTTTATAACTGAGACCAAAATTATGTATTTGGTTCAACAAACAGCTCCTTAACGCTGGAGACGATATGAAAATTTATTGTGACTCCCCACCCAACTTGATTCATCAAACATGTTCGATATGCAAAGCATCTATTTTGCAAACAGTGTCATTTTGTCGCTGAAACATACTGCTCATCTTGAGAAGCTTTGTATTTTACAACCAGGTTGTGATTGATGTATTGCTCCACTGTGCCACTACTGGATCACACCTTTCTAGGTGTACCTCGTTCCACCGAGAATAAATCCATTTATTTATCACGGATTGAAATCTAACGGCGATAGAGCCTGACCCATCCTTCATTGCCATATAGGTTACTGCTCGTGCAGAGGACAGCGGTTAGCTGTCGGTATCACGAATTCCCTTGCCAGTGGCCGTTAACCCACACAGCATTTTGAAGACTGGTAGGGTTTTTTGGAAGTACTAATAAATAGACGGATTTGGTATGATTTATTTGGTTCACAGCAATTGGATTACTAGCCCCTAGCGGTCATGGGTTTGATTCCTAGCAAGGAGCCGAGTAAATGCGCATCATTGACGGGTGAAACGATGGATTGGTACTTTTCCGGCTCGTAATTTAATTGCAATGAGCCAAATGGACACAAAAAATCCGTCTACTCATTAGTAGTTAAAAGGATCCGCTTCGAATACGGACCCAGCGATCGAATTGACCGACCTTCAAAACAAAGTGAATAGTGTGTCGCAGTCCGTTAAAACGTGTGCTTCAAAATGACCCCACCTAGCGCGAAAGTAATTCCAATACAAACCAACAAACATCCCGATGTACGAGTGCGTGCTCCAGAAACGGAGATTGAGGAAGAAGACACTGGTGAAGTATTTGGTTGCAGAACTTGACTGATTTTGTCATGAGACTTCATTGTTCTTGCATTGTACTCCTTACTTGAGTGGCGTCATTCCACCATCTACGGTTGTGTAGCATGGAAATACCGCACGAAGCACTAATGTGCCATCCTTGACAGAGACAGGAGTTGCGAAGGCAACCATAATGCAGCACGTTTCGCTCGCAATCGCCAATTCGGCAGCGTATATGTTAATGAACTCACTAAAGTATGGATACGGATGATAAAGTACACCAGCACAACGTGGAAGTAGTACAGGAACTTAGGCTGGACTTATGAATCGTGTTGGGAGAGTTCAGTATTTCCAGCACACGTCGTGTTTTGTTAACCATGGCGTAACTAAGCATGGCCACAGATAGACCAAGAGTTGATTGTCTAGATGTGTAAGCGTTAATAAGAATACCTAGTTTTCGGGCGAGCAACACCCAATAGCCAGCTGATTTATACATAGTTAATCGGTCACATTCCAGAGTGTCGGTTGGTGACCGAGTGGTCTGAACGCCTGGCTTGCGAGCATAAGGTCACCGGGTCGAATCCGCGTAGGGGCGGGCGTCGTTGCGGTATACTCAGCCCACGCGCGACTGGTGGTGGTCGCGCGGCAGCGAAGCGTCGTTACGGCATACAGCTGAGATTTTAATTACACTCCCCAGTTACCCATCAGAAGTGACGGAGTGGACTCTGTGACTACCAGTTGCGCGCCAATAATGGTTGGCTGTGAACTGTTCAATGGATTCATCATATACAGATGTATCGTACATCCCTCCGAGAAGCAGGATAGAGATTGAACTACGATCAAAATTTGTCACTTACAGTTCGAGTACTCAAGTGTATAGCCCTAGCATTCAAACGGTATAATTCGGAGTTCACATCTGGCTGAATGATTTGCGTTTAATGGAACAAATCTACTCTTTCTCACCGTTCCAGTCAATCAACATCTTCGCTTGTGGAAGCCTATCCACCGGGTAAATTTCCACGGGCCGCAATAACCATGAACTGTCCATGCACCGTCCTCCATGCATGCGATTCATGGGAGACTAGCACGGAATGGGAAACCAGAATAGTGTTCTCGTTTGATTGGATAACCGTTACAATGTTAGGTCGATCTGGCTTAATGAGGGAGCCAGCGAAGGGTTTTAGAAGAAAAACTTTCTGTCTTGACAAGGACCCAGTAGATGATAACTGGGAAGCGGAATAAGTTACGCATTCCTTTGTAGTTATTCTTCAGTCAATAGAAGAGCAGGATTGGAGAAGGAACATCAGTTTCACCATGGCGGGATATTTTTCTGGTGACACTTCAGGTTCCGACTGAATGTCCACTAAATATGCCTAGGTGTAGCGCAGTCTGTCACACATCATCCTGGCGTTGTGCCAGTGGAAGATTTTGGAACACGTACTCGCAGATTTAACGGAATGAAGGTGTGACCAGGTTTGAGAGACGGCGGGTGGGCGAAAAAATGGTTCCGGCTACCTTCCACCTGAGGCTCAGTCCTATCACTCAGGCGTAAGAAAAATATGTGAAATTCGGACGGAGCCTGTCACAGACGATGTTTTAAGCATATGAAGACGACTCTGGATTTAACCACGGCAACAGGTACATAAGGAAACTTATGGTATCAATTATGAAAAGGCGAGTGGACCATTCAGGACAAATGCACGCATGAACCAACAGACGAATTGTTAGGAAAAGGAGGCAGAATACATTCATGGTGACATTACTTGAATACGAAACTAGAAAATTTGAGCAAACAAGGTTAGAGAAAGGAAGGGGAATTCATAAATGATACATTCCAGTAACTTTTTTGTGAATCAAGTCGGTGAGTAGAGTCCAAAACGTTTGAATAAGAGTGAAAGAGATCTCAGATTCGGGGCAACAACCAGAAGCCACGCAGCACAAGGAGGTTATACATAGGGTGGAGGAAACACTTCTGGTAAAGCGCTGTATACAGCGATTTCGGTACCCTGCTTGGTATACGTGCCGACCGTCCACTTCTGCATGCACAGTTCACCCTTGCTGCGATGGGTTGCATACAATTGCAGTCAAAAATATAAACTACGGGAAAAATCAGCATTAATCCCTAGAAGTTAGACGCCCTATCCGATGAGCCTACCTCGAAATTAGCGGGACCTTTGTAAAAGGTCTCCTGCCTTCTACTCAACAAGGTCGGTGGCCAGATAGATATAATCCGAATGTCGCCGATTCGAATCTAAGTTGGGGCGGGTGACCCCGTAGTACTCCTGGCCTGCACAACACTGAGAGTGGCAATGTGGCATCGAAACGTCGGTACGATGTACGAGCACGCTTTTCTAGTCAATAGCCTGACTATTTTCTCCCGAGATTACTCCAGTGGGACTTCGTCGGTCAGCCTGAATGCATTCCTCCCGTTCGCTTATAAGGAATCACACTCAATGTATCTAGTTATCTCGGTGCTCAAACCACCGTTGGATATGCGAGTTAAAATGAGAGTAGACAAAAGTTCTAACAATTGGATCTATTATGATTCGGCGTTTCCTGCGTGCCAGATTGAAATAAGGAGGAACGAATTCGTGCAATCAAGCTACCTATCTTTATCACTGAATAGACATAGGGATATGTCCTTTCCACTTGAGTGAAATAATTGGTTTCAAGCCAACAAGTTGAGATTAGATTTCGCAGCGGTGTATTAGTGAGCGCATCCATAAGATTCCAAAATTACACTGCAGGAGTCTATCCAAATCCCCCACCCGGTTAAGTCAGAAAAGCCAGGTGTTAGCTGACAGAGATCAATTGGCGCATTCTCGTCAAAGTAAGTTAAATAAGCGTTGATAGTGAAGTTTCGGGGCTTCTCTCTCACAACTGCACAATATAGGTTGATGGCTTGGTTTTCCCAAGACCAGTGGTGGGTTCGGTTGAATGGAGACATCACCGGCATCACAACTGGGCAGGATAGTTGCAGAAGAAAGCAACTGTGCGCTGATTGGAGAGTCAATTTTGGACTACACGTCGTGTGATTGGATTGCGACGTGTCAAGCGTTAGCCATCGTGCCCCGGTAGCCAAAGGGGTAGAGGTTTCGGCCACTATTCCAACGGCCGCGGGTTCGAGGCCTGCTACACCTGATGAGATGAAATAACATCGAAACGCATCGTGGTTGTGCAGTGTTTTCGGGCGGGCAACACCCATTATTTTCATCTGCTTCGGTCCCAGTGATCGCATTGACCAAGATTCACTTCAATGTGAATCGCAGTCCACATTGAGATTGCGCGTCGCAATCCAATCCCACAACGTGGTCCAAAATTGACCCTCCAATTAGTCATTCACCGTTGTGCCAATGGTTACCCATCGTGCCCCGGTAGCCAAAGAGGCAGAGGTTCCGGCTACTATTCCAATGGTCGCGGATTGAGGCCTGCTATCTCCACCAGATGAGATGAAGTAACAGCGAAACACGTCGTGGTTGTGCAGTGTTTTCAGACGGGCAACATACAATTTCCAACTGTGCATTGGTTTGCTTGCACCCGTCTCAAGTCAGGAAACGGCAAGTCAATAACGT